CTGAGGTTGTGTCTTATTCTTACATTGGGAATATAAAGCCTTTTGTTTCTTCGTTTTGCCTCTTGCCTACTGGTTTTTATACATTAGATGAAATAACCACCTCTCCCAGTCTTGAAAAAATGGCCTTGCAGAGTAGATAAAATTTATCATTCAAACCTGCCTTAGTTCTCGGATGTCTTTGTGATTGTTCAAGCAATCTATGATATTTTTTAATGGCTCCCAGCAGTTGGAAGTATGCCAAGACTTGTCAGTGTCCCAATCAGCAACTAGATTCAGGCTGACTGGAAGCCAGACCCTCAGGCAAGAGCTTTTAAAATCAAATATATATAGTTCTGTGAGATCACAGCATAAGCCCTATTGGCCACCGGAACCAGGTTATTTGGAGGTATCTCCCCAGTGGCAGTAGCAAAAATCAGGGCCCCAGATGAACATCAAGACTATTTTTCAGGAGATACTGGCAAGCTGTGATGAGGGAGAGTGTAAAGATGGTGTCTACCAGCTTTATTCCTGAAAACAGCTCTGTAGGTCCCAGGTATGTGCCAAACCTAAAGCCTGACCTCAGTCTCAAGCTCCCAAACAAGCAAATATGCCTCTTTCATACAAAGACTGGTAGAGTTGCCTGCCAAGAACTGTTGCTCTGACTGTTAATAGTTCCATGGGACCCAAGATCATAAGCTCCTCTGGCCGCCAAAGCTAAGTGAATAGGGGATGTCCCCTGGGCAGCTGCAAAACTCGGGACACCAGCTATGAATAAAAACTCCTTTTTGGATAATACTGGTACTATGGACTGTGGCAGGGGTAGAGCATGAAGATTAAATGTGTGTGTGAAATTAGGTGCCTGCTCCCCATGCCAGCACTTTATTACTACTTCTGAGCTGGGACTTAAAGTGAGTCCAAGTATATGAGCCCTTTAAGAGACTATGGATAGAAGCCCTGTTGGTTTTCCAAAGTTGGGAGTACTTGGATGTGCAGTTCAATCCCTTCACTCTTTGATTCCCCCCACCCACCCTTTTCTAAAAAAAGATTTTATCTATTTGAGAGTCATGGAGCTATTGAGAAAGCACAGGAGGAGGACCCTGGGATCATGACCTGAGCCACTCAGGCGCCCCTTGACTTGCAAGTCAGCTTTACAGTGAGACTGTGTCCCAGCCTTTCCTCCCCATCTTCCAATCTCCCAAATGTATAGTCCTTGCTCAGCCAGACTTTAGGTTTTTTTTTCCCCAGAGAAAATGTCCCGTAAATAGCTGCCATTTCTGTGTCCGCAGGAGGAGGTGAGTTCAGGATTTTCCTACATTACCATTTTGTACCAGAGCCCCACATTTTCCTTTTAAAACTTTGGCTTATTTTTCAAATTTAAGATAAATACTCCTACAAGGCTAGATCCTATCTAGATAGAATAGAATTATGGGGCTTATGATGAACATTAACAGTTGTTAAGCACAGTATTAAGACATCCTGTGAACTGCATTACGTACCTCATTATCTCATGTAAGTCTCTTGACAATCCTTTGAAGTCAACACTGTGATTATCCCCATTTATACTTTAAAACGACACCAATTTAAAATAACTTGTCTTGTCCAAAGATACTGACTCAAAACATTCAGTGCAAATTAAAATGTCAAAGGTTGTCAAGCACTAAGGCAGTTGTTACAAAGCCTGAGATGTGTAAGTCATTCTGCTGCAGCCTATTCTGAAGCATATAAAATCTGTAAATGGTATAGGAAACTGCCACTATTCCTTAACTTATCTGAATTTTCACTATTCTATTAGTTTTCCTCCTGATTAACTTTTTTGAAAGATTTTATTTATTGCGGAGACTGGGTGGCTCAGTTGGTGTTGGTTAAGCATCCAACTCTTGATTTCAGCTAAGGTCATGATTGCAGAGTTGTGGGACTGTGCTCAGCACAAACGTTCACCTGCTCTCTCTCAAATATATATATATTTTAATTTTTAGAGAAAGCATGTAAGTAGGGGGGAAGAGAGGAAATCCAAGCAGACTTGCACAGGGCTTGATCTCACTACCTCGAGATCATGATAAAACCGACTGAGCCACCTAGGTGTTCCTTTCTGCTTAGTCAGGCAGAAAATATCAAAGATAATAAAACTACAGTTAAACCCCCAAAAGGTGGAATCTTCCTCAAGTATGGTTATATTATTTATATACATAATTAACCTTGAGAGAGCTAACAGGAATCTGCTAGTTTAGTATTCTGGTACAGCATATTGTTCATTCCTCCAACATTTCTATTATTTATGGACCATTTATGAAACACGGGAAAAGGTAACTCTGGAAATGCAATACAACATCAGAAATATAAACCATTCTCCAATTCAATGTGCATTTGTGAGTATATACAAAAGGAAGGATACAAACACACCAATTGTGTGATTATCTCTGGAGAGGAAAGCTAGACTGGGGAATGAATGGTGCATTGGAGAGAGGACTAGTATAAAATCTTTTAACATTCTTAAAGTAACTTCTATTCCCCTCAGCTAAGCAATTTTTCTTGCACAATTCAGGAAACCAAAGCCACCGAGTCCCACAGAACATTTAAAAATACATATTTTTATAACCAGTTTACTCCCTTTACTATAGATTATATTTGTCCTGTTTTTTAGCCACTATTACTACTTGTCTCAGACTGGTGAAAATGTTATTTTGAGAAAGATGAAACACACTCAAGAATCACAATGGACATTAGCACATCATGGTTCTTCAAAGTCTTCTAACAAACAACCATTGGATTTTATATAGTCTAGAGCATTCTTCCTTGATCACAGAATGCCTCTTATGGCAGCATATTCGGAATATTAGGAAAGATTAATCAGTTTTTAGGCATATTTCAACAAAATATCTAGGTTGGCATCATAGATTATTACAGTTCTAGATGAACAAGCTTTCTCTTTAGCAACTTTGTAATAACACAAAATTTTACTGCCTGTAAAGAAACATTTTGGAAAAACCACGACCAATAAACATATTTACCTCCTGCTTCTAACTGAACTCCTGGAGTCAAATGAAGAAATTCTGGCTTCATGCTTACTCGGGAGCCGGAAATAAAACCAACCACAAATTCAGAATGCTCCTCTGCCATTCTAACCTAAAAGGAATGTAACAGGACAGATTACAAGTAGTTAATTACAGTGAATAATAGTTCTTTAAGTAAAATATCAACTCAGGTAACTAATAACAAACTTTCACTATTTTACAATGTCTTTCATATCTAAAACAGGTAATCTTAGGGCAACCCAGGTGGCTCTCAGCAGTTTAGTGCCACCTTCAGCCCAGGGAGTGACCCTGGAGACCCGGGACCGAGTCCCACGTCAGGCTCCCTGCGTGGAGCCTGCTTCTCCCTCTGCCTCTCCCTCTCTGTGTGTCTCTATGAATAAATAAATAAAACAGGTAATCTTAGATATGAATCTAGATACATCACCCATTATCACCCTTCTCCCAATTAATCATACCTTAAAAACATGAAAGAATCCTATACTATGTGCATCTAAAATTGAGATGCTGAATAATGCTTGGGAACCCACCTGCTTCTGAAGAGGGTATGTGGAGGGTACTCTAAAAAAAAAATTAATAATGGTATGAGACTACACTGAAGACTTACTGCCTACACCTCCACAGGGTACTACTCCATACCCGAACACCTACCATATAAAAATAGCTATGTCGTCAAGACCTAGAGAAATCTCACATTTTACTATATTCCTTTCCTTAACACTTGCCAATAACTTATCTCCACTATTTCCATTCCTTCTCCTTACATTTATAGAAGTTTCCCTAGAAGGCTGTCTTTCATGAACCTCCTACTGTTCTATTTGTGCTGCCAAGTATTAGCACTGACTCATGGACTATGAGATCTGGGAAATCACATTTATAGTCAATTTAGGGGTGGGGTTAAAACCTAGCCCCATGGCCATGTGATTTCTTCATAGCTCCACAGAGAATATTTAAATATAAAAATTTTTTTTCATGTAAAAATTAACATTAAAATTCCTATTACTTTTAAAAGTAAATCTGTAAAGGAACTTTTTAACTAGATGATTATCCATCTCATTTTATTCTGGTGTGCAGGTGTTAACATATATGCATTATAGGAACTTTTAATAATGGGGGGGGGTTACTGGAGAAAACACTACGTCAGAACTCTAGAGTTTTCTCACACAATACCAATCAAGAGCAAAGACTTAAACATTAGGCTGTTGTAATGAGAATGTGCATCTCTGCAGACTTGGGAGATTCTGAGGAACTGCATGTCTGAAGAAGCCCTTCAATTTCAACTCATGGCAAAATGAAACAAACAAAAAACCAACTATCTAAAGACCAGGCTGACCAAACACCTGTCTCTCAATGTTTGTAGCTCTTAAATGCCCACTACAAAATATAAAATGTTATTATCAGGAAACTCTAGCCACCTAGCATTACTGTCACCCTAACAGCTGTTTTTTGGGGAGGAAAAGTTCCATAAATCTCAAATTTAAGATGTTTGCTTTCCCTGTAACTTACAGCACAACAGTCCTGGCCTTGTATCACCCCATCCCTCTGTCACTTACCGCTGCTTTAGTATAGTTGCCTGTAGCCAAGGAGCCAGCAGAGCTCATCTCTGCAATGAGTAGGCACCCCCGGTGCAAAGGCAGGCCTACTTCTCTCAAGCCTTGCACAACCCCTGAGCCTGGCACCACGTGAGCATTGACCAGATCTGCCCAAGAAGCTATTTTGAAGACTCCACCTAAAAAGTTGAAAAGAAGATAGTGGTTTTTGTTTGCAAATTGCCTTTTTTCCCACCCCAACTACACTCTCAAGTAATCTCATAATAACATGCTAATGAGATAGTGAAGCCCCTGGAGAACTGCAGTGATTACCTGGTGACCTATGGGTTCATCTGCGAGACTGTTCACCTGGTGACTAGTTGCAAGAGCACAATGAGCAAAAAGTCTTATAATTTCTGCACTTAGTTATCAGCAACACTGATAAGACTGGTTTTCTTTGCAGGCTGAAAGCTTCTAACGGCCAAAAAACCATGCAAGTAGAAATGGGACTGCAGTGGGAGATGGGCATTTGAGGCTGAAGACGCCAGCATTCTAAAATGCCGCTGAAGATGACCAGCGTTCATTCTGCAGGAATCTCTCAGCAACTTTGCCGTCTCTCAAAGGTTCTACTTGTTCCTTAGGTCTCTTACTGTCAACAGGCAACTATATTCATTTTAAAAGTGGACAGCAGGGGATCCCCTGGGTGGCTCAGCGGTTTAGCTCCTGCCTTTGGCCCAGGACGCGATCCTGGAGTCCTGGGATCAAGTCCCACATCGGGCTCCTGCATGGAGCCTGCTTCTCCCTCTGCCTGCGTGTCTGCCTCTATGTCTACCATGAATGAATGAATGAATCTTAAAAAAAAAAAAGTGGACAGCAATACCCTTAATCGATTTCTGAAACAACTATATGCAAACCTGTAGGGTTTGTGTAACTCTTACATTAGTAGATAAAGCAAGCAATGTGATGATGGTGGAACACCTTAAGCACAGGAAGAAAAGTCACAGACAAATCTATCCTAAAGAATTAAATCTATCCTAAAGAATTAAGCACAAGCATGTACTACTTTAAGAATAACTGTTATCTACGAGATGCCTATAAAGTGTTTACCCTTCACCAAATATTTTATCCTGTTATTTAAGCAAAAAAAGCTGTCCTATACATTATGGCAGAAACTTCCATAGAACAGGTAGAAAATTAAAAATTTTTAAACCAACATATGCTCTATTTTGAGTTCCTATTTAACAAAAAAAGTACACCAACAGTTTTTTTTTTTTGCCAAAAATAAATGTTACAACTTTACACTTCTATTTCATTATTTCCTCTATCTCCAATTTTTCATTTCTCAAATATTCAGAACTGTGTTCTGCCAAAGCCAACATCTGTCATTCTTGTCTGCCTAGAACCTGCATCCCCTTCTGGCATCAGCACACCCATTTTCTTTGGGGAAATTACCTTTAACCACAGCTTATTTCAAAAAATTTAGTTAACCAGAAGTGGGGCATATATCACCAAGCTAATAAAGGTATTATTCTATAACCCAGGCCTCAATGACTAGTTTGGGGTAGGCATGAGGAATGTGCCTACCTGAGAAGGAAGTTGAGAGAAGAAAGCAGAGCTGAGACGGCAAGAAGTCCCAAAAGACTTGTACTTGAGCTCCTAGATCCAACCATCCCTGACAGACTGTTCTATGGGTGGACTTTCAGTGATGTTTCCTTTTGTTCTTCAGGCAGTTTAGGCTAAATTTGTTTTTGCAGGTTCCTAAATACTTACCTTCATACTGTTTTTTTACTGTATTTCCTATATCTGCAAATTTCCGGTCTTCAAATATTAAGAACTCATGGCGTTTTGCCAGAGCTGTTAGCTCCTTCATCACATCCAGAGTAAAATCATTCAAAATATCTACGTGAGTCTTGAGTATGCAGATGCTGGGTCCTAAAGCATCTGCTAGCTGTAACAGCTCTCTGGACTCTGAAATATCAGCAGACAGACAAAGATTGGTCTCTTTCTTCTGCATAAGCTTGAAAAGCTTCGATGCAACTGGGTGGATCCTGGGCAGCTCTGCACGTGCACCAAAGCTGAGTTCTCTGGGAGCTTTGTTTACAGAAAGGAGTGAATCATTATGATTAGCAGCCACAAAAACATTCTCCTGAATAAATCTCTTCACTCTCTCAACCATCTCAGCATCAATTTTTTTCTGTTGCTCAAGAATCTCCAGCATTTTGGACAATGTACACACTGAGTGAAGATGGATCCCATGTGCCTGCAACTTGTCTTTGCCTCCTTGCTCTCTGTCCAGCAGCACTATGGCATCAGTGACCTTCAAGCCCTCCTTCTGAAGAACCTCAACAGTTTCTAAAACACTAGATCCACTGGTGACAACATCTTCAATGATCAAACAGGTTTCTCCTGGATTAATAGCTCCTTCTACAAGCCGCTTTGTACCTAGAAAAGAAAAAATGCTAATTTCAATTTAAAATTATGTATTTCAGCCAACTCAAGATATATCTTGCATTATAAATTTGGCATTGATGAAGAGGTGGATGACCTAAATCTTATTTTCTGATAGTCTGAGCTACTTCATCCCTGATAAAATCTTCAACGAGCCATGACTACCAGTGTTCAGTGTTCCTGTATCTGAAAATTCTCAGTTACATATATAGAATATTTACAGCAAAACTAGCAAATTCCCTTACAGTGCAATAAACACACTTAAAGTGTTCATGATCAAAATTTCAAATATGGGGTTTCTTAAAGCAAGATGATGCAGACCAAGGAAAGTTATGAAACAGTAACCCAATATAATGAACCATTCCTTTTTCCATCAACAAACAAGTTCATTATTCAAGATTAGTCAAACAGCAGGCCTTTTGAGGAAATAAAGAGAAAAAATATTCAGCAACCATTTAGATCCATCACTACAACTTTATGAATTATATAGGCAATGTGAGTGAATGTACTTCCTCAATCCAACTCCCACCATATACTTGCAGATAATCTACACAGACTATAGACTCATTTTCTAGTTTCCACAACCAAATCGGTCTTAAATTAGTGAGCAATTTGTTCACTGTTTGAGCTTTATCACAGGTACCATCTTTGCCTTTCCCCATTTCTTTCGTCCCCTTAAACTGGCAAATTGAACTGAACCAGCTTAGACTAGAATGTAAGACTATGACACTTATATACATACTTAATTTCTGATCTTATTCTAAGAAATATTTTTAAAAACAAATAAAAGCAATAGCTTCTGTATGGGCAGGGATTCATACAGATAAACACTGTGCCATCGAGCAGCAAAAATACTGTTTTAAATGGAGAATTTCAAACAAAGTATAACAAACACCCTAAATGCTTCGCCACTTAACTCATGGTCAGTCTTGTTTCAGCTACATCCCCACTTTTTTCCTCCCCTGACAATTTTTAGAAGCAAACCTTTGATGTCATGATTTTCATCACAAAAATTTTTAGAATGCATCTTGTAAAAGATAAGGACTCTATTATAAAATCTAACAAAAATACTACCACATTAACATAAAACACACACAAAAAAACATTAATTCCCCAATGTTGTCAAATTTAAAGTCAGTTCCAATATTTTCAGATTGATTAAAAATTTTTTTTTTGCTAATCTCTATCCTCAATATGGTGCTTTAACACTCAATCCCAAGGATCAAGAGTCCCATGCTCCTTTGACTGAGCCAGCCAGGTGCCCCTGAATTGATTTTTTTTTTTTTTAAGATTTTATTTGGGGATCCCTGGGTGGTTCAGGGGAATCCCTGGATGGCTCAGCAGTTTGGTGCCTGCTTTTGGCCCAGGGCGTGATCCTGGGGTCCCGGGATGGAGTCCCACATCAGGTTCCCCACGGGGAGCCTGCTTCTCCCTCTGCCTGCATCTCTGACTCTCTATGAGTGAATATAATCTTAAAAAAAATATATTTTATTTATTTATTCATGAGAGAGAAAGAGAGAGAGGCAGAGACGCAGGCAAAGGGAGAAGCAGGCTCCACTCAGGGAAGCCCGATGTGGGACTCGATCCCGGGACCCCAGGATTATGCCCTAGGCCGAAGGCAGAAGCTCAATCACTGAGCCACCCAGGCATCCCTGATCTGTTTTTTAAAGCAAGCTCAACAGGGCACCTGGCTGGCTCAGTTGGTTCAGAGTCTGATTTTGGCACAGGTCATGATCTCAGAGTCTTAGGATGGAGCCCCACATTTGGTTCCCTGCTCAGCGAGGAGGCTGCTTCTCCCTCTGCCCCTACTTCTCCCCCTGCTTGTGCTCACTCTCTGTCAAGTAAATACAATTAAAAAATAATAAATAAAATATAAAGCAAGTTCAACATGTATAAAACATACCTTATAACCTACTGCCAAGGACCCATGAAAATAAACCTTCCTTTAGAGAATTTTATGTGGCAATTCTCTTTATGCAATTTAGATTATAAACATACTAGGAAAAGTAGGTGTTCTTACAATATTCTGACAAGAGAAGGATTAGTTAAAAATGTTGGGTTTCATAGATACGGTGCAAAAGAAGCACTTTTCAACATTGTTTAGTCAATACAAAACATTTTACCCCTAGACTCTAAAGGAAAGGAAGGTGATTTATATAATAGTTAATCCTAAAGGACCTATGAAGAATATTCAAGGCAACTTTGGCAAACATCAGTGCCTAGAAGAAGAAAAAACTATAACATTATCAGGTTACATATCAACTTAATGCATATAATATTTTTATTTTACCATAATCCTTTGTTTCTTTCCTTCTAATAAGCATTGGAATTTGGTTGGTTGAACAGATAACTGTAGCCAATGGTAAAGCGGTATAAGGTACTCCACACACAGTGTCAAAATTGATTCCTGCATTTTGGGCAGTTTGGAATAAAATATCTGCAACCTGTAAGAAAATGAACACAAACTAAATATTATTATCTTAAATGGTATATAAATCATGTTAACATAATATTAAAGACAGTAATAAACTAATAGAAGGTAGCCTCAAACTTGATCAGAAAAGTCTGTATGCCTTTTTGTTAAATGACCTCTCTATAAATTCCAGTTACAAATATAAAAACACAAGAATGAACCCACTTGTCTAAATGACTCAGAGTCTGGGACACCTGGGTGGCTCAGCGGTTGAGCAGCTGCTTTTGACTCAGGGTGTGATCCTGGAGTTACAGGATCGAGTCCCACACTGGGCTCCTGCATGGAGCCTGCTTCTCCCTCTGCCTATGTCTCTGCCTCTCTCTTGAATAAATAAAATCTTTAAAAAAAAGGGGGAGGGGTGCAGCCTGGGTGGCTCAGTGCTTTAGCGCTGCCTTCAGCCTAGGGTGTGATCCTAGAGACCCAGGATCAAGTCACACATCAGGCTCCCTGCATGGAGCCTGCTTCTCCCTCTGCCTGTGTCTCTGCCCCCCCCCCTTCTCTCTCTCCCTCTCTCTCTCGAATAAATAAGATCTTAAAAAAAATGACTCAGGGTCTGCTCTGAGAGCAACGCAGAACGTGTTGGGGAAGGCTATGATGATGACACCAAAGACTAAGAATGGCTCCCAGTCCTCTCAGTTTCCCTTAGTAATCCATTATGATTTGACTATTTAAACCTTTCCATACACCTGGTAGCTACATTTTCTGCCTGAAAGAAGTCTTACTGATAAGTTTCATAAGAGAAACTAAGAGAATACTACTACTTAAATTGCATCAAAAAGAATAAAATACCTAGGAATAAATTTAACCAAAGTAAAGACCTGTACACTGAAAACTTTAGGATGCTAGTGAAAGTGAAGACAGAAATAAATGCAATGGTATTCCCTGCATATGAATTATAAATGTCTATATTACCCAAAGCAGATACAATGCAATCCCAATCACAATGGCATTTTTTTTTTTTTTACAGAAATAGAACAGAGTCCTAAAATTTGTATGGAGCCCCAAAAGACCCCAAATGGCCAAAGCAGTCTTAAGAAAGATACAGCTGAAGGCATCAAACTCCCTGATTTCAGACTATACTACAAAGCTAGAGTAATCAGAAGAGTGTTCTATTGGCATAAAAACAGATACATAGATGAATAGAACAGAACAGAACAGAGCCCAGAAATAAACCTATACTTTCGTGGTCTATTAACTTATGGCAAAGGAGCCAAGAAACGTACATTCTTGGGAATGGGAAAAGGACAATTTCTTCAATAAACGGTGCTGGGAAAACTGGACCATTATCTTACACCACATACAAAAATTAACACAAAACAGATTAGACTTGAATGTAAGATCTGAAACCAAAAAATTCCCACAAGAAAACATAGGTGGGAAGCTCCTTGACATAGGTCTTGGCAATGATTTTTTGGATTTGACAGCAAAACTAAAGGCAACAAGAGCAAAAATAAATAAGCGGGACTACTTCCAACTAAAAGGCTTCTGTATGGTAAAAGAAACCAACAAAATGGAAAACAACAACAACAGGGTGCCTGATTGGCTCAGTTGGTTAAGTGTCTGCCTTCAGCTCAGGTCACGACCCC